CTCTCCATATAGATGTCATAAAAGAGGAAATTGGCTGTAAAGACTTTTATTTTTTATCTTATTTTATTATATACCAGGCTGTAAACATGTTCATTTGTGCTGTAAAGCTGGAAACTTTAACATGTGGAATGTTTTATCTTTTAAAAGTTCCTGCACCCAAACGTTCATCATTTATTGCTTTTTTCCTTAAACTTGTAGCAATCCAAAATTAACTTTTTTTCTTTCATGCAGGAAAACCGTTAAGGTCGTCGAGGTCAAAGAAGAACGTAAGTTTACATCACTGCTGCTTTTATTTATCTCAGTGTTGTTGCCTGGTAAAATGACACATACTACAGGTTTAAATGTTCCTATTCGCTCCGCAGGTAAACCAGTCAGAACCCAGAGGAAAAAGGTGGTGATTGAGGAGATCATTGATGGGAGAGTGGTGTCCCGCACAGAAGATGTAGACACAGAGGTCCTCAGCAAGTAGACAGACTCTCAGCAGATCTGTACCAAAAAAAACAACCAATAGGTGCCCTTCCTGTCCTCAGGTGTCTACTAAAGCTATTCAGGAAGAGAATTTGTAAATATTTCTCTCCTAAATCTTTTTTTTTTTTTGCATTGCTATTTGGGTTTTATTTTTCTCAGAAAATATTTATTCTGATTTAATGTTTCAGAAAATAACAAAGCTATTAAAATTGGAATAAAAAGTTTCTAAAAACCAGCGACAACAGTCATAGGAGTCTACTCCTGCAGTACCTCACTCATACATTAGGTGGCACTGTTAAGCAGATTAGTGAAAAAGCGTTTGTGCAAAGTCAATTTGAATATTAAGCTACATTTTCAATGTTGTATGAATGGAAATAGCATTTTATGTAGCAATTCTTACATTAACAGTGCTGAAGGTGTTACATGTTGCTTTTTATAAGGGAGCCAATATCCTTGAAATGCTTAGACCACTGTGCTGTGCTATTCCACAGAATGAGAGCAGACCTCGCTTCCCATAAACATTTGTGTCTCTGACTTCTTTGTGTCCTTGTTTTCATTTCCTCAAATGAACAACCGTCTGCCTTCCTTTTCGTGTCATTTTCTAACCTAAACACAAGAAACGCGCACAAAGCTTTCAGCTCTTCCTTTGTGCAAAAAGAACATGCACGTGCCTCATAATTAAACTTAATGTGACACACTGCAGTTTTGGTGCTACTGTACAAAAACAATTAGCAGGTGACAATATTTTCTTTGCTTAAATAGTGTTCTTAGAGCAGGTATATCTTTCACACACACACACACACACACACACACATTTTGATTATTTGGAGGCAAATGCATCAACGTATTCTTAATTATAGACAATAATTAAAATTAAAATGATGTTTTGTGGGCAATTCCTGTCTGTAAGTATTAAATATAAACATATGTCTACAGATTTACAATAAATTAATAACCAACGCCGCTAATCACTCCTACCCCTATCCATGGCATACATCTAACGAGCTACACTGTGTGCTGCAAACATAGCGAGTATTCAGGATCAGCTCTTAACATTTAACATTCGTACGAGATCGATGTTACTTTAGCTTTATCATATTTATCATACGATTATTAATAATCCTTTAATGTGTAATTACACGCAAACATATTTTAAGTTTTAATGTTTTTCTTTGGTTTGTTGTCCATAAACCTGAAATCAGCGCTGAGCTGAGGAAGAGTTCCTCACTCTCACTTCAAGTGACCAGAAACATCGTGATAGTCTGAAGATTGACTGCTGCAAGTCTTTTTGTGGTCTTCACCTGTTAGTTTGAGAAACCAGAGGTGTGAGAGGTGAAACGGCTTCACAGTTGCCTTTTATTTTCAAGCTCTTACAGTTACCACGACGGATGAAAACCTGCACAGACATAAACATCATGTAGTGACTTATGAAGTGATTCACTCCTCTCTGCTCATGCAGTGTACGTCAGTGTCCACTAGATATCAGTATGCTCACAAAGATCGCCTGTTCCTGTTTCTGCAAAGTCTTTGACAAGTGGAGGTGATGCTTGTTTGTGCCCTCACCATGTGACAGCTGGGACAGGCTTCATACTCCGGTCATGTCTATTTTTAGATTCAATTAAAACAAAAAAACTCATTTAAAATTAATATTGGCTGACACAAAGATATATTTGAAGATACACAGAAGTAGAATGACACAGTTTTCAGTGGGAACAGACCAGTACATCTCTTATATGTGTCATGTGAGACTGTTATGAAGAGGGGGGGTGGGCTAATTCCATTTAAGCAAAAGTTTTAGCGTCAAAATACAGTTAAAGCACCTTACTCATTAATTCCTTCTCTATTTGTTTGTTTGTTGTTTCTTAAATTATGAATATGCACTATAGGAAGATATGTGTATTAAATGTATATCACTTTGAGATGGTGTTAACTACTTATATTCTGTTGAGTAGCTTTATCTGCATTAGCACAGTAACATATATTACAGAGTACAAAGGATTGCACTAGTACTAGTATTTTCGTGTCAGATGAAAATAGTAGTACTGTATGCTACATGTCATGGCGAGAGGGCGTCACTACTCGGCGCCCAGAGGGCCCAGTTTTTCCACTTCCTGGTAGAAGTGAGTGAAAAGTTTGCGGTGTAGTTTCATCTCGTGTAACATGAGACTGTAATATGATAAAAATAAACTCCGGGTTATGTGTGCATGATGTTATATTTACTCCTGTGTGATTGTCAGAGTTCGTTAAATAAAAAGAGTAAAGGTCGCTTGAAGCTCTGCTTCCTCCTGCAGACTTTCACGCTCTGCAGCAGACTGTAGCACGACTGTGCCACTCAGGGCTGGGGTCCCTAGTCACGACCTAAATGATGACAAAATCTTGCACCACGGAAAGCTGACGTCACCGCGGTACAGTCACCGCTCCGGTGACGTCACGTGACGGAGGCCCGGGCGGCAGCATAAACAAAAGCCGAGAGTTTAATGCCATCTGCTGGACGGACACAGCCTGTCACCCAGCATCATTACGTCATCCGGGAGAAACCGGTGCCAGCTCCGGATCGATGTAACCTGGGAGCCCGGACCTGAATGCAAAACGAGCCAGGAAGCGAAAGAGCAGGACAGACAGCGAGATTAATAATGGACAGAAGCTGTTTGAAGGAACAGCATCTCACTCTCTGATATCATACAAACAGATCTCTTCTGTAAACAGAAGTTTACACGTAATACCTGGAATCGACAGGTTTTTCTTATTGTGAAAAACACAATGAGACACGAAACCTAAAAAAGTTTATGAAAGACTTTCTAGAAATCTGTGTATTCATTCAAAAATATTGTACAGATTACTGAGAAACCCAAATATTCATTATTTTCTGCCTTATTTTGTACCAAACTTCCCTCCAGACTACAATAAATGTCATGTGGTGTGCAGTCTGTAAAGAACCGTTTAAAATAATATTATTCTCAGAGCAAACCAAGCTGGCTAATTAAACACAGAAGTGGCTGACACTTTTACAAAAATGAAGTATGATGAGCATACTTTATGGAAATAGTAAAGTTAGAGTTTTTAGTGAGGCACAAAACTCTGATAATCTTGTATTTATTAATTATTAGTTAAATCTGGTAAAACACATATCACAGGACAGAGGTGGTGCTGCAATTAAAAAAGTTATTTAGGAAAGTAAGGTAACACTTTTTAAAAGTTATTTAAAACTAGTCCAACTATGAAAATTAAAATGCAAATGTTTTATTTATTGTAAATAATATTTCTAAAAATGAATCTAAGTCAAATTAAACAAAACGTTTAAGGAAAACACGGAAAACATGTTCTGTTTTAATCTTTAGTTGTTTGGTCAAAATATTAAATATAATAAACTTGTATTACCCGTCCTGTATTTGTTCCATAACATCAAATACACCTTTTTGTCAAAGACTCCACATATAATCATAATAAAAACAAAATAACTAATAAAAACTGATACTATAATACTAATATAAAACTGAAATGAATTCAATTAGAATTTCTATCTTGAAAAGCAGAAAAATATGAAAAAATGCTTAAAAACTAAATGAAAATTAATCTTTTGGTCTGGACAGAGTGTTTTATTTTGGAAACTGGCCACATCCTCTGTGCTGTTCCTGTGTGAGACTTCCAACATGCTCTGTGTAGCCTGATGCAATTCACCCTTGTGAATGTGAGACAGCCAATCCCAGACAAGTCCCTAATTTGTAATTTGCAGAATTTAACTACACCTTTCCCCACTAGGGGGCAGTGTTTTGACAGTGGGATTATTGAATTGTTTTTGGATATGTCCTGCTGTATATTCATTTGCCTTTTTCCAGTTAGCCCATTGCTTTTATTAATTTGGCTGATTAAATAAAGGTTATTCTGACTCACTGCACCATCTTGTGGTATGAAGCGGTGTTATATGAAGGTATAATCTAACCGTAGTATGGTGGTTAACACATTTGCATAACAAGCAGAAGATCTCTTTTTTAGTTCTGGGAGATAACACAGCTGACTTTGGGGTTGTGCTGGTGTGGCATCTGCACCAAAACAAACAAACAAACAAACAAACAAACAAACAAACAAACTGCCAAATTGAACATGTGATTCTTGTTTGATTCCTCATCTGACCCTAGTTTGACTTTGGTTATTATCTCTTTAACACAACACTCAGATATTTGAACATGAAGTTGTCCAAAATGTCTGTGAAATTTTGTTTGTTTTGTTTTTCTGTACATTCAGTAAATAACTAGATGAGTTTAAATTTTTTTAATTATTTTAAACACACACCTTTAACAAGGAAGGACGCAATGAAAGAAACTACAATATTAAAACCGACTGAACAGCAATCAGCCTGGCAGTTAGTCAACATTTACTTATATATA